CTGCAAACCTCTTTTTCCAAGTTCTTTTTTGTACATAGGCGTCCATTTAGATGCACTTAAAGCACGCAGCGTGCTTGCGAACTCAGGACGCAGGGTTGTTACAATTAAATGCTACGGAGGGGAGGATAAATATTGTACCGCGTGGTTTGTCACTTTGGGAATTTGCTGGCTCGACTCGGACAATACTCATTGATTCGATTCGAACACATTTATAGCCAATAAAAGAATGATACAAAATGTGAACCCGCCACAAATCCTCTATTCTTTGAATCCAACGATGTATATTATTCTTTTAGAAGGAATTATTTATTTTCTAGGCAAATTTAAGTACTCGCGACAATTTAAATGTTTCTTGCTTTGATTCCTGCGAAATTGACTCTGTAGTTGTTTAACTTGATAAGTTAGACGAGTTAGAACAGAAACTTCCAAAATAAATGATTAAAGTCCAAGTAAATCTTACAGTCTAATTATGGAGAGGGGAGAGATATCAAATTCGATACGACATCAAATACTTATATTCTGGACATACGACAAATGTTGCAAAACAGATACAATAATTTTTGCTAAGGGGTAGACAAGTTTATCACAGAGAACGTGCGCAACAAAGTGCATCGGTACCTGGAGAATAGCTAATAATAAGTCTACGTATTTTATCATTGTCGATCACACCACGTATTATCATTGTCGACCACACCGAGACTTGTCCTTCTGGAATTATTGTATCGTACGTATAAAAACACAGTATCACAAAGTCCTCCAGTGAGTCTTCTCAGAAATTTCCGAGCAACAGGCACGGATGCACTGGAGTTGCATAAAGTATTAGGCTGATGCATAAGTAATGGCATTTTTAACACGTAACGTAACGTGTAAAAAGAGGCCATTACTTATGCATCAACCTAGTAGAAGTGTGTTTAGTACAACATAGATGTACATACGCAGTAAATATTGCACTAACAGCTGCCTGATAAGAAGACTGGAATATTAGGGAAAGAAACATTTTAATTACAGTGAATACTTGATTATTTTCTTTGTCCCTTATCACTGGCGATACAAGAAAATAAGCAAAATCCAATCCCTATCAATCTTTCGGATACACAATGTGGGATTTGATCAAATTAAGATTTCAATTCCAAATTTATGTTCGAGGGGGTCGATTCCGTAACTCGAATCCAGTGATAATTCCAAAAGTGAGCATTCCGTCATTTTCACTATGGTCAAAATGTGAGATGCTTCGCGTGAGACTATTCGATCAGAAACTTCGAGATGTCGGACCAATTTCTTTCACGTCTTTGCTTGGAGAATCCAGTGAATGAACTCACGTGAGATGACAATGTGAAAAATGGGCACTCTTGCCAAAGATAGAGAATCGATCCCGTGGAAAGGATTCGAGGCAATTTAATGCATGTATATTTTTTGTTCTTAAGGAACATGTAGCTTTGAAATAGTAGAAAACGACATTAAATGGAAAAGAAACATCATCACTACGTTGAAACTGTGCAATTTTGTGTTCTATTCCATTCGAGTCTTCTTACCGAGTGATCTACATCTTGTTCCTAACCTACAAACATCAGGTCACGAGATCATCAGATTTGAAACGCCCAGTGGAAGCTAGCTTGTCCGAAACGCTCTTTTTTTTTCTCCCTCCTTTTTTGCGAAGAGTTTACGTATATATTTGGCGAGGAACTCAGTCCTGCTCGATTTTGGTGCTTCGGCTAAATGAAATCCACCCGCCACTTGACTTTGTAAATATATATGTGTATATATTGTACAATATACGTGTATAGATAGAATTTCGTAGTATATAATACGAATTTTGGCACGACAAGAAATAGAATCACAGATGAAATCATTGTACGTTGAAAGAGTCACAGATTAATAGAGCTTTTTATACGAGTTTCTTTCCAACTTTCTACGGACACTAAGCTACGCACTTTATGTCTCTTATGTCGAATGACTCCATGCGACATAAACATTTCTTGTATATTTCATCTAATTCTAGAGTCGATTTAAAGGTTTTCATGTCCATTGACAGACTCAAAATACCTATTTTCCTGACAGGTAGAAAAAAAAGAATTAAACACAAACTGTAAATACAGTTTAAGCGTGTTATTAACCAATCCCATTAAATGTTTTCTTTCCTGTACCTGTTTGAAAAATGGGTAGTATTAACACCGTCAATAGAAATGAGCCCCCACACTTCTCGAATCGCTCAAGCTACCAACAAATACATGTTCCAATTCTACATTGTCTAGGTAGACTTTCAACATAACCGAACGTTTAGAGGCCACTAATCATTCTCGTGAAGATTTTTGGTACTGATACTCGCAGGTCGTGCTTTGGTTCGGAGCAAAGCATCGAACCCATCGAGACACCCTTCCCGATTAATTTTAATCTTTCTTACAGTCGTGGAAAAAATAAATATCTGTCTTTAATATTAAATAGAGACGTGGTCCATGTTTCATTGTGAACTTTTGGCAAGATGCTGTTCTACTTTCGCTTGAGGGTCTCTTCGGTACTCTAGAAATCCATTGACAAGGAAAGTCAACGTGGATTTCAACATGCTGAGTTATAGAACTTAAAAGTAAACCGCAATGTTTACGGAAGGTTACACGAATGTATGTGAAGTGCGAGGAATACAATATTAACGAGGGAGGTGATATGAATTAGCGTGGAAAAGTGTTATCATTAAACGAGGTCTATATCTATACTTTTAGGGCGATTTGAAAGTGGCGTTAAAGAGGTCTCCTTTATGAAACTTTTCTTCGAACTGGGTGTACTGAGTCGTTTCACAACTTGACGATGTGAACATGGAGGCTATAAAAGGAAGGTCTTGACGCCCATAAAATTTCAATTTTTTCAAAATTTGTTTAAAGATATCTTCTAAATTGTTGTATAAAAAATGAAATTTCATGAGTGCCGGGACCTTCCTTATAACCTCCATGTTCATGCTATAAATTTTGAAATGATTCGGTACATCCAGTTCGTAGAAAAGTTTCATGAACCTTTTAGATGCCACTTTCACACTCCCTTAATGTTTAAGCACATCGAATAGTTACACTGCTTGTAGAAATCAATGCAAAATGACAATAGGCTTGCTAGAATCATGGGTAGTCTATGCTTCCATCCTTTCGTCATTCGTGCTTAATTAAGAAATAGTGATTATCGCAATGCTCCTTTATAATAAACCTCACTTTTTTTTATAACTCCATTTTTAGAGAGAATTTCTTCAAAGTCCCCCGAAGAGGTACAGGTCATCACCGAATGACACTTATGAATGTTACAATGTTCGACTAATATAAAACTCTTTTTTATTTACTTCATTTTATTTTAATACCTCATTTATGTGCCATTATCTCACGTGGCTTAAATTCCACCAAAATATCTCTTTACCTCTGCTGGGCGAATTCACACACCTCGTACAAAACGTGAACACATTGTTGTTAATTGTTGCTTTTAAATTTAATTATTATCACGATGACCTATACTTCATCGAAGGACTTAAGGTGATATTAAAGAGTCATTCTATATACATAAAAATGTAAAAATATTGATAAAATATTTCTCCAAACTGCACGGAATAATTTGAAACGCTAACTGGATGTCCTAACGAAGGTTTCGAAACTCACGAAATTTCATTTCTCGAGATATAAATGTTTTCCGGTCCTTCTACAAGGTAAATAAACAATTTCTATTTCGGGAAATGAAATTTTGCGAGTTTTAAGACCTTAATAATTACGTGTTACAGTTTCAAATGATTCGGTGCACCCAGTTTGGAGAAGAGTTTCATCAATATTTCGACGTTTTGATACAAACAATACATATTATATATATATGTAGAATGACCCTTTCGTAACACCTTAAATGATTCGCCAAGGCGAGTTATATCACTTTGTATAGAAAACAAACCCGTTACATACACACTCTTAGTTTTATGTACTTGTTTTAGAGACAGGATGAAATCGCTTTCCTGTTTAAATTTCTACAATGATGCTATTGTACCTGTGTACAATAACGATCATGAATGCATTCCCATTGTACTTTAAGGCGATGTGACAGTGGCGTCAAAGGGTTCTCATGAAACTTTTCCCCAAATTGGGTGTACCGAAACGATTCAAACTTTACAATATAAATATGGAGGGTACAAGGAAGGTCCTGAAACTCCTGAAATTTCATTTGTTTACAGGAATTTTATAAATCTTGTATAAGAAACGGAATTTCACGAGTGTCGGGACCTTCCTTTCAGCCTCCATATTTATATTGTAAAGTTTGAATCGATTCGGTATACCCAGTTCATAGAAAAGTGTCATGAACGATTCACTCTCCAGATGCCACTTTCACATCCCCTTAAGGTGATATGAAAGGGTCATTCTGCATACATCAAAGCGTGAAAATGTTTATAAAACTTTTTGTAGAAATATTTTGTAAATATTTTGACGTTTTATATGTACAGAACGACACTTTCATATCGCCTTAAAATCATATTGTCTGTTGGGAAGGCATTTATGTGCGCCACTGTACATGACCCTGAGGAGGTGCCATCGGTCCCACTAAGGAACCAGCTACGAGGCCTTCCTGTCCTCTACACCCGGAGGAAAAGGCTTTATCTATGGATGTATACACGGAGAAGAATGATTGTCACTGCAGCGAACAAAGTATAGCCTTTCTTTATCACCGTTGCATAAAAAAAATTTTAATCTTTAAGGCGATGTGAAAGTGGCATCCTAAAAATCAATCCTTCATGAAACTTTTCTATGAACTGGGTGTACCGAATCGTTTCAAATTTTACAACGTGGATATGGAGGTTATGAAGAAGGTCCTGACACTCATGAAATTTCATTTCTTATACAACATTTTTAAAATACCTGTGAACAAATTTTTAAAAAATTCAGGAGTGTCGGAACCTTTCTTATACTCTTAATATTCACATTGTAGAGTTTGAAACGATTCGGTCAACCCAGTTTGAAGAAAAGTTTTATAAACAAAACCTTTTCGACGTCATTTTCACATCCACTTAATATAAATATATTATATTAAAAATAAAAACTTAATGCAGATTAAAAAATGTATCCTTAAATTCTCCTTCAATCGAATAATTAGAATTGAATATGTGCAATAATCGAGATATTAATAAACATCTACATAGAAATAAAGAAATATTAATAAATAATCTCATAGACGCAATAGTACTTTCGTAACCATTTTTTACGATTCGCGTTAACGTCGAAATGATTATCACTCTTCTAAAATAGGATACAATTATTAGCTGCAACTTTTTCTCCGTGTATTGTACCTAAGTTATAATAAAAAGACCTCTATATCTGGTTTTAATAGAAAAGAATGATGACTGACTGATTAAAAATCATTGTCAAATCAGATTCCGATGAAGTTCAGAACTGATTTGGGAATCCTAATAAACGTACATGATCATTATGTTGAACATATTTTTCCTCACATTCCCGAGATTTGAATTCAATTTAGGAAATAAGACATAGAGTATATAATAAATACAAAATATAATCCAATTCTGGGACTCTGACGAAAGATTCTTTACTTCGCTCTCTTAATCCAGCATCGGAGCTGAGCAAGTTTTCATTTCATACTTAAATTCCATCTAAAATTTCAGTTCATATTCACAAGAGTGTTTAAAAACTCATTTCATTTCATCACAGTGAACAATTAAAAAACAGCCCAAATAAATGTTTGTATCATTTCCGTATAAAACAATTTATAAATAGATTCTTGTAGATTCTATTAGACCGTGCATTTACATATGTCAATTACAACTAAGGTCTAATTTTAAATAAATTAGACTCTTAGTTTAATAGACAAAAAATAGAAGAGCTTCGATTCAGTCTTACATCATTGGAATGACGAAAAATGACCTTGGTGATATAATCAAGTACATTAATGAGAGAACGCGGTAATGACGCATGAATAAGGCGGTAAAATAGAATTTCATATTTAATTATCGTTTCAGTGTAAATGCTTTTAAAAATCGTGAAGAAGACACTGGAAAACTTGTTCTGGCCTGGTTTCCTCTTAAGATCTTAATCACCTCATTTATATCAATAACGTGATTCATAAAAAGTCCGACCACAGTTTGTTAGTGCATATCTTACATAAAAATCTCCACAGTACGGAAAACCGTTAATAAACAAATTGTTAGTATTTTAAAAACCTTTCCATTACGTATAGTCTTCATTCCGTCCTTGAAATCTAAACTTTAGGTATCATTTTTTTATAATTCCACTCTTTAGTATAAATCATTGTCGAGCTTAAATTTATACCCTTTATAAAGTAAATGATTAATTAATCATTCTGTATAAACTTCAAGTTGAAATTTGACTCGCGAAGAAACTTGCTCAGATCCTTTCTAGAGAAAGACGAGGCAGAAAATATTAATAATTAATAAGTTAACAAGAGTTTTAGACATTAGCATTTTAGAAAGACGTTACGACCACTCTTTTAGCTCATTATTTTCCAGTTAGGCAAAACCTCTGCGATCGAAGTGGAAAAATAGGCGGTTACATTGTAAACTATGGTCTCTCCCGCAGCCAAAAGTGCTGCGAAAGATCCATAGGTACCATAATCGATGATGCTGTGATTGCAGGATGATAAAACTGCCAGATCTTTGCCAGCACCTTTACCATCTACGTCTGATATAAAGCTTACTTTGTATCCCTTGTCGTGGAGGTGATACTTGCACCAAGCGATGTTATCACTGGCTAGCACGAAGATAACATTCGCATACTTTCCTTCGAAGTAATTCATGGCTGCCAGGTAGTAGTTCACCGGAGCTGGGCGAACTTTCAGCTTCTGCCAGAGATAGTCCACGTAATCTGTGCGTCTCACATGGATGCCTACGTAGATTGGATCAGTCACGTTAAACTGCAAAGCCACTTTCTTCAACAACGACTCTGCAGAGGACTTTAAAGATGATTTGAAGGTGAATTCCTTGCGAACATCGTCCAGCCAGACAAGTATCAAAGACCAGTAAGTCGCGTGTCTGTGAATCCAGTTAAACAATATTTTTAATAATTCAAAGAAAAATCGAATCAATTAAAAATTTAGCTTCGTGACATACCTGGGAATTATAATATTCTGTTCCGTGCTGTTCCAGTGGTTCAGCGAGTTGACGATCTGCCCTACGTCCAGAGTGCACCAGCCAATGTAGCTCAATGGTGGAATGCTCAAATTGTCAAAGTATTCCTCCAGAGTTCTAAGAATGCATCGGGGCATAAAAGGTTCCAAGCCAGTTCTTCTTGCCGTGGCCCAGACCGAAGCGTACTCCCAAATTTGATTTCCCAACCTGCCACCTTGTACGACGGAGACTATCCCATCCTTCGGGCAAGGATTCCTTCGATCGGCAGGAATCCTTACGTTCTTAAAACTTGCATGACACAGGACCTGCTCGTAGGTGGATATCTTGGTACGCCTTGCTGGTGGGCTGGACGTGTACATGGGAAACAGGAAGACGTGGATGCCGAAGACGACGATCAGAGAGAGAACTATGGCGCTCGCGAGCACATGCTGTTGAGTGTGACTCATTCTCTCACTTACTCCGGCCTACGTTCTTTCTCTACTTTCTTCTCTACTGCTCTCTACCTATTATCTCCATCATCCGCCGCGCTAGTCTGGCATTTCGGATCTATAGGCGTGCCGTATCCCTTGCTTTCCAGTATACATCTTTGCAATCATAAAATCGTTAATAAAATGAATAAATCAATAATCAACAAAGTAACGATAATGAACTAAATGTGCATATGTCCAGCCGATCCCTAAATTGCCGATTCATAGTTTGATTTCGAGAAGCGAAGCAAATTGCTCCTATTTACTGAGGTGGTAAGAATGACTTTCTGCATTTCACTCAATGACGCTATTCGATTACATCGTATGTTATGCATGCAACAGTGGAGGACCTACAATGTGAATAAGCAGTGACGAATGGGCAAAGAATGTTTTACACCTACTTGCGTCTTCTGCTTAAGAGACACAAATTAACAAGGAATTCCTACCTAGACATTTATCGTCGCTTTCATATGCATCCCTCCGCAGCACAGCATCAAAACGTTCTTCCCGTTGCTTATCCCCCATCACCCTGCTTCGCTGTTTGCCCTTATAAATAGAATATACCATTTAACTGTCTCTGTTAAACATTAACCGTTTTCTTTAATGACGTTTAAATAAGTAAGATCACTTTCCACAATTACCGTATATTAAAGATGACTCAAGAAACGTAATATACATTCCAACGAGAACGTCATCTTGTTAAAGTCGCTTCGAGCAGTGATTCGAACAGTTGCGCCTGGAAAATCCCGAAATAATTGATTCACCTACGAACAGGTTGTTCTAAATTGTTCTAAACCGTTTCAAACGATTTTCTGGATCACTCTATAGAACGTACCCTTCTCACACCCCAATTCGCCAAGAAAATTATTACGTGACGTCACGTGAAATTGCATGACGTCACGCGCTTCACCACGGGGGATGAAAAGACTAGTGGGAAGCACAGGGTAAATTTCCTGGGAACAGTTTAAGGACTCGTTCGTGCATTTACTGGTGTCCCGTTTCTAGTGGAAATTCTGGTAACTTCTCCATTTTGAATAGAGACATAAAGGCCAATACATCTCAACTTATCTCTAATCTGAGCAGGCCCGCTCATCTCTGCTGATACGTACTAATACGAGTGTATGAAGACAGTTATATGAGAAACGTATACAGGCTCTTGACTCGTCCCCTCCCGCCTAGTTGATTGTCATAAGATTAGCATATACTAGAAATGAGCGTACCTAGTGTCGCCATCTCGCGATCAGCCGGATAAAACGATTCGACAGCGGTGTTTAAATTGGGCGGTCAAAAAGCTAACCTAACGTCTTACTGTGCCGGGAAAATACACGTTAAGATGAGTACTTACGATTTTACAGAAACATTAGATTATCCAAAGATGAAGATGCAGTTCGAGAAACCTCGGAGAAGTTCGATAGTCTGTATTTATCACACATAATATTTTAATACGCGTCATTCAATTATGTAACGATACCGTTAGAAACTTGCATTGCAGCAACCAAAACATTGTGAATTGTATTTACTTTTGTGTTTTTATAGTTTGGGATAAATGCATCATTTGATTCTTCCATAACAATGGCACCGCATGAGATGCGAGATATTATGGCTTCTTCACAGAAGAACGACATGAGTCTTAGAAGCATGATGGATGACAGCGCTGCGACAGGCACTATTCTCAAAGCGAACGCTCCTTGGCGCGAAGCTAACGTTAAATTGTACAATGAATTTCTTGAAACTTTGCAAGCCCACACGTCCCAGTTGCAGGTCTTCGAGACCGTTGCCGATTTCATTCAGCATTGTACCGATGTCTTAGAAATGATCAGAGGTAAAGTTATTAAACAACTCCTAGAAACATCAATTCTTGCGTTAGAAAATCAAAGATCGTATCGTTTTATTGCAGGTATGCAATCAAAGGTGGAGAGTGCAGACATATCGGATGAAGAAATAAACTTAGAAAACGAGCGCAATACTTGGAGACTTGTTTACTGTCTGTACCAAAATCGTCTGCAGTCCTCTGAGTTTCAAGCTCAGCCTAATTTAGATGGAAATAATTACATATCTGAAAAAGATGTAATAGAACATTTGTATAGGACTCAAAGCGCAGTGAGGGAATACCAGTTGATAGTTGACTGGTTAGAAAAGAATGCATCGGATCAGGCCGATAGATTGCCATCAATTGAGCGCTTCACAGACGAGACCGTTGCTTGGGAAAATACTTTGCATGAATTGCGTAACAAACGTGTTGGCATTGCATTTCCTTCTTCGAGGCCTATGGTGACGTCGTTGGATCCTGATGCACCGATACGGGAGGGTAAGCCCTTACATGACTTGGACAAAGAGGACGATGCAAGACTTGAGAGAAGAATGTTTGTAGAGGTAAGATTTGATAATTACAATTACTGAATGGCATTGGCTTGTATTTTAAAAGTCGGGTTACGTCAGATTCGTAGTGGACGTTTTGAGAAAGCACAAGCACTAGCCGTACATTGTGGACAACCCTGGAGAGCCGCTTGTTTACTGGGTTGGATACCTTACCACGATCCAAATTATAATAGCAATGTTAAAGACAACAAATTACCAGCCGAGGGTAATAAAAATAGAAGCCTTTGGAAATTGTGTGCTTGGGACATTTCTCAGGATAAACGAGTAGGTAAGTCATATATCCTTTATCATACAAAGTGTCACATAGTAAAAACAGCAATAATTTCCTGAACAATCTAAGATAATGCATGAGATAATTATAAGCCTACAGTGATACTTCGTGTCAACATTTGTTTTGTTAATTAGTTATCGAATCATGCCAAGTTTTTTCCTTTCTATAGGCCAGTATTACCGAGCAATATATTCCAGTCTTTGTGGCAACGTAAAACAACTTCTCGATGTAGCTCTATCCTGGCAGGACGGTCTGTGGTCTTACGTCAAAGCAGTTTTAGACATCGCAGTGGAATCTGAAATCCGAGGTTTCATGCCGATAAAGTATCCTTCTATGCCCGAGGAATACTGGAAGAATGAAATGTCTCTGGAACAGATCTTCACAGAGTTACAAGCATCGAAGAATGATGTGATCCGTTTTCAAGCCAATAAGCCGGACCACCTGATTCAAAAGCATTTGATTCTCGATCAGATCCCACAACTCATGGACGAGATCGAGAAGATGGTGGATAGTGGCACTTGCACGTCTCAGTTTTTAAGATTTCTGGCTCACCTGGTTCTATTTTTAAGGCAGATCGGTAAAGGTGCTAAATACAAAATCGGCGATAAAGTGTTATTAGCGTATGTTCGAGTGCTCATAGAAATGGGCGATCCCATTCTTGTTGCCTTTTATACAACAACTCTGCCTCTGGAGGACCAGGTGACAAATTATGCTTCTTATCTGGAGCAAATCAAAGAATATGAGCAGTGTCAAAAGTGTCTCTCTGCAGCGGAGGAGGCTAATTTGAATGTCGAAGCCATCACAAAATTGGTGGTTGAGAATATTAGGAAGAAAGACACCGATCTGGAGCCTGCTGACTTGAAAGGCTCGATAACTGATAGTGATTTAGAGAAAATCAATGCTCTGGATTGGCTCACCTTTTACCCAACACAAAGGGAGGAGGCTCTTTGGCAGGCCAATGCACTGATAAGGTATTTCCTGAGCAAGGAGAAACTCGACGCTGCCAGGAAAGCCTTTAATAAGGTACGTAATCGGTTGTTAATTTTTTTTACATGATTTGGATAACAGGTATCAATGTTGCCAATGAAATTGGAATTTTTGTGCAAAGAAAGTGGGTACGCAGGTGAAGTTAACGTTTGCTTACTTTTCCTTCTTTGATTGCCCTTCGCTAGATCCCAGTCAGCTACATCGAAGCAATTGTGACAGAGTATCCTTCCTTGGAGGGCACTCTGGCGAACCTGACAGTGACAAGTAATTTACCAAAGAAGGCTGGTGACTCGATAAAGGAGTACCTTTGTTACAAAGCTTACCTCGATGCCCAAGAGGACTTCTCCGAATGGTTCGGACACTTCCATCATGGTCGACCGGCGCCTTTGGATGAGCTTCCTTCCTATGCCACCTTCACTGAAAAGGTGGCCTACGATCACAAGAAAGCACAGTACAACGCAGAGATGGATCGGTGGAAGTGCACCATGCAACACCATACGAAAGTGGGGAATAAAATTAAAAGGATCAAATGATGATAAGTGATAACTTCTTAGGCGGGGTTGTTAGTGGATTTCTTTCACTTTTTAGACAGTCAAGCAGTTCCTGTTTAACGTTTTGCTGTTTCCTGACGGCGGATGGTTGGTGGATTCCGATCATGGCAGCGACGAACCGTTGACACCTGAGGAACAGTTGAGGAGACATCAGATGGCGAAGCTGCGAGAATTGTGTATACCGAAAGTTACGCTTTTGCTGCATTCCGTGATGTCGGAGATGAACGAGCATTTCGAGTGCATTCAGCTCGCTGACACTCTCGCTTCGGAGCAGTATCAGCTCTACAAAGTATGCAGTTTTGTCTGCTATATCGAGACCATTAAGGTGAAATGAAACACGTTAAGGCATTTGGTCGACGTCGGTAAAAGAGATTCTTCTAAATACCTACGTTGCCAACATTCGTATTTATATTAACAGCTGTGTCGAATCATATTGGGTATTGTGCTAAATGGCATACTCCATATGTCGTTTACGTACAATAATTATAAAGAAAAAGTACAATTGTCCCGACACTTTCGTTTCTCATATCTCATATCAGAGCCTTCAAAAATTGTATATCGTCCAAATTCGGTCCAATACCCTTAAAAAAAGTGCCTCATTCAAGTCGACTGATTTGAGGGGAGTTTCATTTCACCTTAAAGCCGCGTTTCCTAACCATCTAACCCCCGTAATTAATTCTGAATAGTTAGTTTTAATAAATACACTGCACATTTCCTTCGCAGGTCTTTTCCAAGGAACGAATGCGTGAAGTGCTTCGAAAGATCTGCGAGTCGTCCCTCGTCCTGATGGATCAAAAAAAGGATCCATGGGGTTATTCCAAGTGAAACCGAAACAGTGTACGATAAACATTAAGGTAGTTCTCGCAAGCGGTGTACAAAGGACTCCATAATTTAAATTTCTATTCATACCGAGTGCCGATTAAAAAAAATGTCTCGGTCACGTCACGAATGCAGACATTGAGCGAACGACCGACGATAAGTCGCTGTAGATAAATCGCCAAGCCTTGCGGTGGCCCCTTTTTTATAAAACCAGTTTATTGTCAACCACAAGAAGTGAATATAAAATTTGATACAATGTTCAATAATCCATAATCATAATGTACCTTTTGCGCAGGTCGACGTCGACGCCGTGGAATTTGGCCACCGCGACTCGCGCGACCCCTCTCGTAATTGTGCGCTAATTTTTGTTCTCGTTAATGCTTAAGTGTGCGCGTTTGGTCTCCTCGATGTTGGGAATGGCTTTCTTAGTTTATCGTTATAGTTTGTTTATCGCCAGGAGTCGCGCGATCCTCGGCTACCGAGGATAACCCGACGTCGGCGCCGATTTCTCTGGCCATACCTATACCTCGTAATTACTTAGATGCTTAATTACTTTTCCCATTATTTACCAGAAGTTACAGCTGACCGGTTAAGCTGTGAACTCTATGATAACGTGTTAAGCACTGCGCAGGTGTCGGGTGATATGGCAACGAGAACTAATGATCGTCGGTAATGGCGCGTAGAGATACTCGGTAGAGTCTCGCGCCAAGTACATACACCCTTGCATACGTTTCTTTAATGTCTCTAAGTGATAAGGACTACCTGCGCAGTGATTGTACCACGCGTGTATCTCACAAGCGTTTTTACAGCGACTTGGATGATAATGTTAACAGAATTGACTCGTTACAAGCTGCTACTCACACCGAAACTAAATGTCAGGCTCATCGGACACTCTTGTCGTGTTTCTCTCACGATTCTAGTAACACTTTACTCAATTTACGGTATCACGAAGGGAAGCTTCAGTTATCACTTAGCGATTTAAAGCGACTCCTCACTGAGAAACGTTTATTTTTTTTTTTCTGGATTCCTTCGCGGCTTGCAACGTCTTGAGAGACACGCATGCTACAAGTTGAAATTATACCGACCTTTTACATAGACTATATAATGAAAATTAACACCCGACCAACGCCTTTCTTATAATCAAGAGTCAAATAAGCGAAGTATTTACTGAACTTCTTGTGTGTGTGTGTGTGTGTGTGCTTTTTTTCACGTTTATATTTAAAACAGACGAACGGAGATACGACGCGAGCTTTGGTTTCTTTCCGTCAGCTTGTAACACGCTCGCAGGGCGTTCATTCTTAATTTGTTATTAACTATTGCTAATCCATGCACAGCATGGGCCGTATCGCAGCGAGATCTCTTTTCTGTAACCCGTGATATCAATCTTCTTCCGTTACCCCAATCGAAACGCTAGCTTCTAACTCTGATATCGTATCTCCTGGATTAATTAGAAGGACCTAAGTACACGTACATCGCCCACCAAGAAGTACTGAAATAGGGTGACAAATCTCGATTCGTACATTTAATTATTACACTGGGAGCTCCGTCGAGTCCTGCGACAAGTGCATGTCGTCGACTAGCCGAGGTCTCTTTACTTCAATGATGTACTTTTTTTTCTCTTTTCTTGATTTAACGTCGATACCTCGCAATTAGACGAGCCTATGCATACGTACTCCATCGATGTTTAATTAACAAGCAAGTAGAGCGAAGTATGTCAATTGATATCGTTTAAAAAGTCGAGATCTAGATATTCACTCGCTTGGTCGTACCCGTCGATCGTATCACAAGATCTCCTTTCCGAAGTGTCTTTCTTTTATACATATATTTTCTTATTAATTGATATGCCGGCTCTCTTAAGTTCGTTATCTCCCTTATTAAGTAGTAGAGTCTAATTATACGTAGTCTATTGATATTTATTTAGGAAGCGAGCAGAGCGGAGATCTCGCCTGATACGATCAAATCTCGTCGATTGCTCGGTCGTATTTCGTTACGATTTTTCATATTTTCTATTGTTTTCCGGTTCTCTTTTAACCTGACCTAGCTTAACACGTAAACCCTCGGGAACGAAAAAATGGTTGACAATGTTTCTCGACACTATTGCGAGATCTCTTTGATATATCTTTCCAAAGGGATATTTCTTTCGAGAGTCTGATAAGCCTTTGGAATGCTTGTTTCAGAACTAATTACACTCTAACTAGACGTATCTCTAAGAACGAGAACCTTGGCTTGAAGAACTATTTGTTTACGGCTTAAAAATGTCACAACGTTAATATAAAGCGCCTTTGTCGTTAACAATCCGTTTCGTCGAGACGCTATCCGCGTAAATAAACCAGGGCGCGCGCAAATGTATTTGGCGCGGAACTCAGTCGAGTTTTGTAATCATTGACGTAAAAAATCGGAGAAAAATCTGTAAAATTATTACCAGCACTGCCGAGCAAGGCGCCGACCTTACTTTATAATATATCCTTGAAACGGAGTAACAATAGCCAGTAAACAAATTGTTCTTCGGCGTTAATCTACGATGGGCCTATTCATGGGCTTCAGAAGTCAACGTCGAGATAATCGCCGTGTACGATTTTTCTTATCTCCTCCATCATTTTTAACACTTCTCTACCCTATGTTAAAAATTCCAAACGAAGAAAAAGGATTGAAAATGAAAAAGATAGAAGGATAAAGCAAGCTTGGAAAACTCGCCGACGAAGTGGAGCTTCTTTCGTAGCTCTCGATACACTTATTCTTTTCTTCCCGCAGGCCCGAAAATTCTGGGAAAAATTATAACACGACTACGTTTAAATTTACGACTTACGATTACTTATACGTCTCTCATACGCCGATGATTATTGTCTAAGGGCCAGTAATTATTGTCTAAGTAAAGTACCTCATCGACCTAGCGGGTCGCCGCAATCTCGAAAAGGGTTTTCCTCAAAGATCTTTCTTATTTTTTTTTTCTTTTTGTCTCCCAGTCGCGAAGCACAGGGAAACAATGGTTAATCTATACAATAAGCTTCGAAATGAAGGGCGACATCGATCCTTGGTATCAAAAAAGTGTGGAAATCCGTTAATCACCGGAAACCCGGGTTTGGACAGCAACGAATGATAACTGATTATGTTATCAGGACACATCGATGATGGAAGCCTGTCTTGCGGTGTCAGACGAGGGATTGGTTTTGATTTTTTTTCATCTATTTTTCACTCGCGTCCTCGTGAAATTTTGGCTGATGAATGAATAAAAAATTATGTTCATATAATTTTTTAATTTTTTTTTTAGAAAAGAAGACCTTTGCTTCAAAACGTTGTATTTAAGGTGGCAGAAGAATTGGCTGAAAATTGGAAAATGAAAAGGCGGCCTGCATTTTTCAAATCGTTCTTTCAACTTTTGTTAACTGCGGATGAATGATAATTGTAAATGTTTAAATGTTAAATGTCTGACATCGCGAAGACAGGCTCGTAGCCACGTTTAATGCATGCACACAAGTAGTCCGGGGTTCTCTGAGCTCTCTAATTGGAGTACAAGTTTTATATATAATTATTTACGTGATATAGCAAAAAAGAATTACTTTCCTTATAGCCTAGGCTATGCAATTGCTTCTTAAGAGCTAACGATTCCGGGCCGAGTTCGCGTTGCCTCGCAAAAATCAGAAATGAAATTTCGGCAAATTGCCCCCCGCTAGTTAACAAAAAGTTTCATAAATTTCATACACTTTCAGCACCCAAGGCTGTGGTAAAATAAACGGCGTAAATTTATTAGAAATTTTCCAAGGAAGTTACTACACTTACGTACTACATTTCCAACAGATTTATCGCATTTGAAGATACGTTAAAAAATTCCATAATGCCTCCAACGAAATTGTAATTACAAGGTTGCTATATATATATATATCTTTTTTTTTTCAACAATGCAGTTAATAATATATTGTATTACTTGGCAGGATGTGGATTAACGCGAATTGGAAACACTTAAATTTAGTTTTACGACCCCGAGGTCGAGTTGCTAATCATTCTTGCAAGTAAATGAATCTTTAGGTAAGGCTTTTGACAATGCGTTTTTGTATATTGCATTTTGTCGTGATTTTTGCGAAGCAGCTCAGTCGACATCAGACCCGGCAGGTCGTAATCATTATTGTCATGCTCACAGAAGTAGGAGTTTCATATCCGCTTACAAGCTAGATTTCTCATCGTATATTGTCTAAGATCGTGTACACGTATTTCGAGAGAAAGAGAGAGAGAGGAAAAAAAAAGAAAAAAAAACAGGGCGAGAAGAAACCTCTTATTGTCTCGAATTGCCGTAGAGTATTGTCTCCGTTCCTTTGATCAGCCATTACAGCCCACTTACGATCATTATTGTCGCACAATTAATTCGAATAGTACATTGAGCGAAAAAATAACATTCCTTGTCAGCACAAAATAATTCCTAAACATTTGTTTCTAATTTTTGTTAAATATCCCAAGGGACAGATTTTCTATCAAGATGTCTCGTAGATTTCACTCGAAGATATTGAAATTATTTGTCGATAGTCTCACCGATATATTTTGAGATTTGGTAGCTAGAAATATCTCTCTTCCTCGGGAATATCTTACAGACTGGTCTTCTTGTGGCGAGCGCTTTAAGTCGAGAATCTCTCTCTTTTCTCTCTCGCTTGTTTTTTCCTTTCTTTTGTTTTTGGATCGTTCCTGGGATTGAATTTTGAGGACACCCCGGCATTTTAGAAGCTGTTATCAACGTTCTGCTTTACGCTAGATATCCCGGCTAATTACTAGGCTGATTATGTATTTTGCTGATTTCTTGGTTGCGCTTCGTCGAACCCCTTGCACGTTGCGATCTCGACTTTATGCTTTATCTTTATGTCAAATATCTCCCCACGATTTTTATCATCGAGACCAATCCAATATACATAAGTCTTCATAAACTGATTTTACATGTTTATCTCAATTGGCCATCTCAAAAGTTCATATCCCTCGGTGGTCAATTCTGGATTTTTATGAATTGCCAATTGTTAACTTCGGTATTGTCCGGCCTAGTTTTGTATATTTTATCTATTCCAGACTAAAACCAAGAGCATACTTTTCTTTTTCTTTTAATGAAATTTCACGAGCAAGTTTTGAAACTTCATCACGAGATTATGGAGGCCCTAAGAAAAAAACGCGATGCTCGTGAAATTTCATTTCTCGAGAACAAAATGTTTTTCTTTGGTTCTTGTCCAAGATAGATACAAATTTTTATTTTTTTTCGAAAAATGAAATTTCACGAGAATCGCGTTCTTCCTTAGGGCCTCCATAATCACTTGCTGAAGTTTCGAAGGATTCGGTGTACTCAGTTTGGATAAAAATTAATATTTTCACGTTTTATGTATGTGGAATGGCTCTTTAATATCACCTTAAGGGTGTAAGGAGGTTTCGAGGTACCTCGAAATGTCCTTTCAAAGACTCACAACGTCCAAGGGGCCAGTTCCTAATTCCTCCAGGGCATCTCCTGTCCGAGTGGAATCCTAATTGATTCAATTGAGAAGTTTAATGTAACTGCACCCAAGGCACATTTTATACTTTCATTCCGTTTCAGGAAGGTCCACTCTTAACGTAGGTATATATACATGCGCATGCAGCGAGTTCTCATATACATTTAAATATATATATATATGTAGGGCGAAAGTTTGTAAAGTTCCCTCAGAGTGTCACGACTACGTCTCTCGTTTCATACCCGAGTCGAAAAGATTTATCTCATGTAAGTCTCATATAAGCCTTAAGGCGACATGAAAGGGTCATCCTAAGTATATGAAACATCAAAAGATTAATAAAAAATTTTCTCCAAACTGCACCGAATTATCGGAAACTTTAACCCGCGATTACGGAGGCCCTAAATAAGGACGCGATGCTCGTGAAGTTTCATTTTTCGACAAGAAAATGTCTTTCTTTGATTCTTGTCCAAGATAAATACAAGTTTTTTATTTTTTATTTTTTTTCGAAAAATGAAATTTCACGGCTCCATAATCTCCCGATTAAGTTCCAAATTTGATAAATATTTTCATATTTTTGGTATGCATATGTGACACTTTTTTATCACCTTAAAGGGCGAGAATTGAGATGTTAATGAAATCAGTCTCATTAGAGCCTCAAATATACGTTTAGGTCCGATTTTTTGTACAGTTGAGGTCCATTCAAGTGTTTGATCAAGAGCCTTGGCTGGAAAAACAATTTGTTTACTGCCAATATATATATATAAATACGATTCATTACAATATCAATAACGGTCAAACGTTATCTATATCCGTATATATATACTTTTTATACATAAAAATATATTTTCACATATATTTTTCAATGTATCTCCATGTGGGAAAAGAGCCTAAAATGTCTGTCGAGGAAAGAAATTATGAAAGGGTTCATATGAGATCCATAATTTCGACTCGGGTGTTTTATCAGCCCTTGATTACTTATCACCTCACCACGTTACGCCCTTCCTCGCCTCGACTACCGTAAAGATTATTGTCAAACAGACAGCATTTATAAACATATATATATATATATGTGTGTGTATATATGTATATGCGTATGTATATCCTTAGGAGCTACGCGACGTTAAAGTTATGTAAATTCAACTATAACTTTGTGCAAAATTTACATAGACGAGCGCCTGCCGCTTATCGCGTCCCCGATAAGAGCGGCGGTAAATACTTTCTAATATTGTCGCTTCCGGCTTTCTCGCGTTTAACACGTTGAGCACGTTTGCACGTTTCGTTTCCTAAATAGGGCCTCAAGAATCTCTCCTACTCGAGTCCCAAAGAATTCCGCCTTTCTTCCTGTATTATTGTCTGGAGGATGTCCTCCTCCCTTATCGTCCCCTATCGTGATAAGACTCGACGCACGAAAATGGGTCTTCAGAAATGATTTTTTCTTTTGTTTAACCAAATTAGTTTGCTTAGAACGACTAAGGGGCTTTGGTTGAATCGTTTTGTTAATTATAGAAAGTACCTTGGTCAATGAGCTGGACATTTTCTGTAAATGTCCCTAATTAGTTTAATAATTTATGTGATCAATGACTTTTGGTTGATCACGTAAAATTAATTAATTATTGCTTCACTTAATAACCATGTTCTATGGTTGAAGCGAGAAAAACATTGCATTGATTTAACCAAATATTAATCCTCCGTGCAACAATATCAAAGACGAATTACTTTCTTCCTGAAAAAGGCGTGAAAAGACTCGGATGTTTTTTTTTTTAAGACCTATTAACGGTATGAAATTATTAATCAACGTTATAAATAATAATCTCTAATCTTATCGCACTTTCAGTTATCCATCCCGTCCTCGTGCGTCGATTTTTACCGATTATCTATTTTATTGTCTTATATCTCGATCATTAATTTGACGCGCGTACTGCATATATACGCGATGCGTAAATACATACATATACAAATTTATATAAATGTTTATATAATTGCATACGTATGTATCAACATATATATATATATGTGTGTATATATATATATATAATATGAAATGTGGAATCTGATAAGTCTTAAAAATATCTCGCTAATCTTTACATAGAATTAAATCCTTACGCGTTAAATACTTTCTTACAACCTTGTATCATTTGAGTCGATCACGGTTCTCCTTCCGATTTCTTCGTATAGATATCTCGACGCTTATCGTGCGTCCACGATTTGGATGCATTCGGATCCACGTGCACCGTTTTGGACGTCAAAATGCAATTAAGCCGCAATTCATCTGAGGAACGATAAACTGCAGAGGGCCGATGCGATTATTGTCACCAGGAATGGCCCGATACTAGAAGCGTGACTTCCGTCTCTTCTCGGTCGGTAACCAGCCTCCACCACGTTGATTTTCCAACCTAAATTATTGTGCGTGTAACACTGAAAAGAAATATTGATATCAGCGCCCAGATATAGAGCAAGGGGAAGGTGAAACACTTTGAGAGATTTGGCCGACGTCAGTAAAGAAAAGTGTCTTATGCGCTTCTGTGCTAAAACGATGGTAATACCAGGTCTCGGAGAGAAAATTTAGTTGGCATGGAAATCACAGATGGCGCAGGGGGTCCCTCTGCAGCCAATAGGGCCCCAGAAACAATGAATACAGGGGATTTCTGGAGTTTTACTTGGATTTCTTTATAATTATTGTACGTAAACGACACATGGAGCACGCCATTTAGTAAAATACTCAATATAATTTGACACAGCTGTCAATATAAATACGAAGGCCGGCAACGTAGGTATTTAGAAGACTTTTCTGTACCGACGTCGGCCAAACTTCTCAACGTGCACTTCACCTTAACAATCTGATCCTGTTAAAAGAACCAGAATGTAGGCTGTTCTACTTATTCTTGAGTATGTCATTAGTTACCTGGTAGTACACCAGATCTGGAGTGTTTTGTGCGACCGTCCAGACGAGTTTTGCAGGCTCGCCCTGGTCGCATTCGAGCCTCAGAGTCTCGAAGAAGCTCTCGAAAGTCTCAGAATCGGCACTCATGTCGATGGTTTTATGAGTCCACTCGCAATAACGACCCGCCGCCGTGGGATATGGATATCCATCGGCATCGTAGCCGACCCCGGCGTAGATTTTCTGCAGCATCTGCTGAGTCTGAGACTTCTGGCCGTATCCTCCCTCAGGGCTGTCAGTAATGTAGAACGGATGGTACCTGGAGGGCAGCCATTTTTCCACATCATACGAATTAATTCTCGCTAATCATACGGATCGCTCTTTCGCATGTAAGATACTACTCCATCCCTAACTGACGCTGAGACATGCAGGAATAAATTTATGGAAAAAGAGTTACGACTAACAGAACTATTCACAATAGTTGATAATACTATCAGGGCAAGTCAAATATTGTCTTTCATTATTTTTATTTAATGTTGCAATTAAATATTGTATGGGCATTGTACCCTGTTTTACCGGTTACGCAGATTTTGCCCCTTGAAAGTAGTTGCAATTTTTACAGAGGTGTATAGGGTGTAGAGGGCGCTAAGGGGCCGCGCCTTCCTTTCTAACAATGTACTGTAAATAGTATCTGAGTCCTTTTTGAACCATGAAACTAGTTAGAAAATAATTCATTTTACTAGATTTCTCTCTCTCAGGGTATGTGCTTAGCATCGAGTGAAGCGAAATATACACTTTACCGTGCTGGATGAGTCGGATTGTTTCCACCCTCTACGATGAAGGTATAAGTTCTGCCCCTCTCTACTGTTATCTCCGGGATCAGAAGGTCGTTGATATACCAGGCGATTCCCCAGGAGGGTTGTCCTAGAAACGAGCGTCATTTCAATTTATCAGTTGTTACTTAATTAAAGATACTCCTAGTCACCTGTGCAGGAGAAAAAAAAGCACAAAAAATATACAGGATAACACATAATACAAGAAACTAACCTAGTAGCATGAAACATTTCATCAATATTTTCTCGTAATCTTCTCTAAATATCTCAAGCGACAGATTTTCCAAGATGTCCCGTAGATTTCATTTGAAGATATCTAAAATACCTATTTAAACTCTCTGCGACATATTTAGTTTTAACAAATCATGAACGTATAACGAAAATACATTTTTCACTTTACGATTATTATCGGACACTTCGTTTGTTATAAAAAAACACCGGACATTTTTGCAATATCTTCTCTCCATTATTTCACTATTGTAGCAAATATTGAATGAAAAAAAAAACTAATATTGACATGACACTAAATGCTTCATACATGTGTAAGAAAAATGTTACGATATTATATGGAGCTAATGTTATGCAGATATTATAAAAGTAATATTCTAAAGCAAATGTTTCAGATGTCCGGTAGATATTTACAACATGTAGGATATTCGTTAGATGTGTAGAAAGTATGAGAAATATTTTGCGCTAGTAGGGAAGAAATGGATAAATGTCGGTTTGTACTGTACCGACGTTTTCCAGATAAGGAGGTATCTTTTTGTGTCTTATCGCCCCCTCTTACGATATATTTCAATTGGGATAAGATCAAGATAAAAACTCGGAATTGATATAATTACCTGTGATCCTGGTGTACCCCCTCTTGCCCCCGGTGGGTCCGATCCTGGCACTGAAGGTGTCCTCGTCGATGATCTCGGCGGGGGGCCATGCAGGGATGCTGGACATGTCCGGGACGTTGTACAGGGAATTTGTACATTCATGGACGTTTCTCGATGCGAAGTCTATGCGAATGTCCTCGGTGGTCTTATCAAAGCTGTGATGGGCATTGGCTTCGCCCCTCGAATTAAGGGGCCCTATGGCGGCGATAACGCTTGCCTCTGATACCGGGATGGGCTTGTCCTTCATGGGGTCCTTGGGGTTCAGGGGCCTGGAGTAGGTCACTGAAAAATACATACACCTTCAGGTGAAATCCTTAGGATGATATGAAACGCGCTGAGAAATTTCATCCAGGTAGATAAATTAAAATCCATCTGTACCCCTTTTGGCGGTAACGTCATTTTGAATACTCAAGTGGTAACATAAGCTGGCGCGTCCTGTTACCGACATTTATATTTACATTTACGTCTTTTACAGTCTAAGTTAAGAATTATACAACCTGCAGCGTTCCATACGTCATTTCGGTAAAGTAATGGATGAGGAGATTGAGGTGAAACTGTCGAAATCCCGGGAATTCATTATTCTAACAACTGTTTAGGACCGACGTCGCCATCTGTGACGTTTGGCTGTAACTAAATCTTTGCTCTGAGACCACAGGTTACCGACGGGGCAAGCCTGCATTCTCTTGCAATCGTTCGTGAAAGTATTTTCATATACTTAACGCGTAGAATCGACATTCCTTATTAATGTATATTTAACGTAGAAAGTAGAAAATCCGTGGGTGGATAATCGTTTAATTTTTACACTATATCCCCTAGATTTGATAAATAAAATAAAAATAATTAATACTGGATAAAATCTAAATCCCGCTACTTTGTGTCGGTAGGACTGTAATTAAGTAATTTAATTACCAATCGTCACTCCATTAGTTCTCTCCCCGTGGATGAATTCGGCGTCGTTTACCCCACCGATCCTCTCATCAGGACAGACGCCCTTTTTTCCATCGCATTGGGCGTAATCCGACATGTAGTAGTCGTCGACGATGAACTTTCCCGTCTTCCCGTCGTATCCTACGACGACGACGTCCCCGCCGAGCATTTCAGCTTTTCCTTGCCTCCCGGAAAGCCCGAAAGAGATGTACTGATCATCTCTAATTCTTCCGGCCAGTCGAATCTGCACTTTGTCACCCATCAGCTCCCATTGCACCTGCACTCGACCCTGAAGAAGCTCCCTGCAGTTGCTGAGCTCGTGCCTCATGTGGGGAGCCGGAGTACTGCTCGTCTGAAAATGTCATTCTCGAATTAATAAACAATATTGCATACTTATTATCACATAAGATGACATGAAAGGCGCAGAGAAATATAAACAACGTTGATAAATTAAATGTCACCTGTGCCCTTTTTCCTGGTAACACCATTTTAAATACTCAAGTGGTAACGTAACCTGGCACGTCGCGTTACCGACATTTATGTTTTTCACTTTTACTATCTACGTTGAGAATTATACGAATTGAAGCTTTCCATATGTCATTTCGGTAAAGTAATGATAAAGTGATCGATGTAAATCTGTCGAAATCCCGCGGGTTCATGATTTTTGATACTCTAATTGACCGATGGCGCCATCTGTGGCGCTTGGCAGAAATTAATTTTTTTTACTGTGAATACACGCGTTACCCATGATATTTGACTATCCATGTGACAACTATACTCTATGGTGGAACCTGCAAGAATTTTTTTGCCTCGCTGATAAGAGATTAAAAGTAACATCTAGATATCAACTTACCGTGGGGTGAGAAATGGAAAGTAAGATAAATGAATGGAGATAAAAAGGCTGGATATGGGAAGTGATGAACAAAAAATGGATATCGAGACGTACATGCAAATTCATTGGACATTTTTATTAACGAAATGACGAGCGGGGTTAATTTGCGATCAAAGTGGTATGAATAACAATTCTATTAATAATTATTAATCAAGGAGTATTATGTTTTTAAGAGCACTTATAATTCGGTCGATGCATTAAATATGAACTTCCGATGATTTCATGCGATTGGAATGAATGCGGTGTTAATGAAACGGCGATATGAAAATAATGTTTAAATTAAACGTTCCTTTGTTTTTTTTGTAAATGGTAGAACGGTCTATCATAGGTGTTGCTAATTGTAGGATCGTTCAATTAAACTATTAACAATTTGTACCTCGTCACTGGTCTAACTGTCAATGGGAATGTAAAATAATTCGACGGCTCGTAGAATGATTATAAAATCATTTAAGGGCTGTAGTAAATGGAAAATCTCAAATGTTAATTCGGAAAGTCGAATGATCTTACTTTAGTCCGTTTTACAAGGAGCAATCTCGAGTTCTACTACTTACAGGATTGTACCACCAGGGCGGCTATTCCGAGATAAGAGCAAAGTGTCTCAGTCTTAATTCAATTTTTATATGAATATTTAAATGATAAGAACCACCGCCTATAAAATACTAAAACCCTATGCATAGAAAATCTCTTTAAAGACAGAGCGCAGTAAATCGCAATAATCCTTAAAATTTGAGTATTCGCGTGAGATCGACGTCGGAAATAAATCCAGAAAGTCATCTGGTCTTTGTTTTTAGCGAAGAAAAAAATTTAAAAAAAATGGCACAAACAAAACTCATCGCAGAAACATGCCAATAAGCCTGTTCATTTTGTTTGTGCCTCAAACTGGATTCCAGGTTCACACGGCCTCTTTGGTTCAATGAATTCCTTATCCTCAGTGTAGATGAAAATTTCCCAAGGGAGCTTTTTTTAAACTAAAACCCGAGGACCCCATCGAACCACCCCCAAGCGAGGGGTCGATATAACCTGAAGAAGAGTTTTTTACGATCCGAGAATGGTTTCAAACGAATCCTAGAGGTCGCGAGTCCTCCGTTTTGTCGTTTTCGGATCAATTCGTCTCGGTTTACCGTGATCTTGGTTTGTCCCAAAGCCGGGGGTACGTCCAGGTCCTTCGGGATCAAAACGTGTCCGAAATTGTGCTTATATTGCACACACCAAACGGCCAGCCACTCGATGTCATAGACAGTCAGATTTCCTGGCAAAACGATTTCGATGTCCTCGCCTAGATAGCCCCTTAATGGCTCGAGACTGGGAAAAAGAAGGTTTGATTAATAAACAATTGATTTAACAGTTTGATAATGGTATCATTAAGGTGATATCAATGCGCCGAGTAATTTACTCGACGTCGGTTAAAGAGAAAGACGTCGAAAATATGTATCGACGACGCCGTCTTGGTTCTAGTCTGAGGTAGATAAAGGAATTTTCCTCGAGAAATTATATATTTTAAGGGGATTATATCCACGTGGTAAAGTTACAGAAGTACTGTAAATAATTTGGTGCCTGGTAGGCCATTTTTAGATTACCTCAATGGTAACATTGCTCGCTTAAAGAGAAATCAATGTTCCCTTGAGCCATAGTTACAGTAAAGAGACCCAGCGCTCGATCGAGGCTCATGAACTTGTCTGAGACGCTATCGTGTCGTTTGAGTAATCAGCTGGGTTTCTAGTACCCTTAATAATATTTCCTTCGTTTATTGATGTTACCTGCCGACCTCGTTGGGAACTTTAGTGCCGAAGGTGTTCGGTTCCGAACCGTTCCCCACCCAGAAGTAGGCGTCCGGACCTGCTCCGTCGTAATGCAAATTCGGGATGTAGAAGGTCTTGCTGTCCAAAATGCTGATATTTCCACTCCTGAGTCCGTGTGCTAACCTGGAGAACTCCGACAGGACCCTTGGCTTGGGGATCTCTAGGTCCTGGGGTATCCTGATGTGTCCGAAATCGACCTGGAAAGAAAAACCACTATTAAAAAGCCATTCTGAAGAATAACAAAATGACTATCCCGGTGTTCATAAGATTCTATCAAGAGACAGAGTTTCGAGCCAAACACATTAACGTGAAAATATCACAATGTCCAGTAATAAGGAACCGCGCCATGCGTACTTGTCGCGAGACGCCACCGAGGGCATAAGGAGATTCAACGCCAAGTACTGAAATCGTCCCCATGATTATTGCTTTAAGATTTTCAGATTTTTTTTATCTAGTGCCGAGAGCACTTCCTTGATGAAATTTTGCAATTAAAAATTATTGCCTTTCTTGTATGCCTAATTATTTCGCTTAAAAATTATCGTCTTTCTTGTATGCTTCATCATTACGCTTAAAAATTATTGCCTTTCTTGTACGCTTCATCATTATGCTAAAAAATTATCGCCTTTCTTGTATGCTTCATCATTTCGCTTAAAAATTATTGCCTCTCTTGTATGCTTCATCATTATACTAAAAAATTATCGCAAAATTATCGCCTTTCTTGTATGCTTCATCATTTCCCTTAAAAATTGTTGCCTTTCTTGTATGCTTAATCATTTCGTTTAAAATTATCGCCTTTCTTGTATGCTTCATCATTATGCTAAAAAATTATCGCCTTTCTTGAATGCTTCATCATTTCGCTTAAAATTATCACCTTTCTTGTATGCTTAATCATTTCGCTTAAAAATTTCCGCCGAGCCAGTTCATATGAATGGTCTCGCATTTTCACCACCGATAACGCTCCGTGATACCGTGAGCTACTCACTTTTCACATTCTCGCCCAATCTGCTTTACGTAATAGACCCCCAGACTATTAGCGTTGTTTCTTTACACTACTTCATGGCGGGGTTTGTACTTCCCACGTTCATGGGATAATGCCAGGGTTGAAGCGGTCATCTTTGACGCGCATACCCCGTGGGCGATCGGGGATACCGATCCGGCGATTTGCCGATTTTACGGGAAGCTCGTTCGTATCCCGCGCCCTCGGGAGTCGAGTTACAAATTCCCTCGTCGGATGTCGTCCTCCCCTCGTCGGACGCGTTTCCGCCGAGGGTGGCTATGATTGACGAGCCCCTAAACGTAATGGGATTAATGGTCGCCGCGGATCGCAAACTTCTCCGACTCCCCGATTATTAACGCGGAAATTAGCGTGACTTTTTGCCGAGTTCGGATTAAGACGGCGGGGGATGAAAATTTCCAAGTCGACGGGACCGTCCTGAAAGTGACTTTTCATCCTGAACGAATACGCGTTAACACATTCGCGACCTCTGACGTGAATTCACGTCTTTTCAAGTTCTATTCCTGGTTGCCGCTGACGTGAATTCACGTCGTTTTAAATTCTATCCCTGATCACCGCTGACGTGAATCACGTCCATGACGATACACGATTTAAGTTTGCAGCAACCGCGAATGTGTTAAAAGTCACTTTTATCCTGAACAAATACGTGTTAATACACATTTACGGCTAACGTGAAGGGAAAATTCACCCTCGACGAGTCACTATAAATAAATAATAAATTATTCTACGTCTAATACAACACTTCTGGATACACTTGATGCAACAGTACTGCCTTTTCTTGTTAATAAAATAAAAAAATCACTTTTCGGGATGAATAAATTCGTAACACTACTTTACATTTACGGCCACCATGAAGGGAAAATCCGCTCTCGACGAGTAGCGCGTTGATTGGTTTCCGCCGGGGTTTAGGGTGTTTCTTTTCCCTATCGGTGACATATGGACGAGTCACTATAAATAAATAATAAATTATTCTACGTCTAATACAATACTTCTTGATACACTTGATGCAACAGTACTGCCTTTTCTTGTTAATAAAATAAAAAAATCACTTTTTGGGATGAATAAATTCGTAACACTACTTTACATTTACGGCCACCATGAAGGGAAAATCCGCTCTCGACAAGTAGCGCGTTGATTGGTTTCCGCCGGGGTTTAGGGTGTTTCTTTTCCCTATCGGTGACATATGGGGAATGATTTTCCGTGATAGGACCAGTAATCCGAACTGCGGTAACGACGAAGGGTCCACCGCCGATTCGATACCTTTGATCTGGTCGTTACGGCTTGGAAGTCTCTGAGGGGATGCAGCGCACCCCTAATAGACTGTTTATCTCGTAAATCCGGCTTTGGATTTGCCCCGGAGCCATTATACGGGCGTTTTACGCGATAAGTGATAAGCGCCCTGAAATCTCGAAAGACGGTCCAAGGGCTCCGAAATGACTTCCACCCCTTTCGGGAATTTACCCCTTCGAGTTCCTCGATTGTTTCAACCTTTAGAACGAAAAAACATTGAGGGGTGATAAAAACGGCCACGTATGTTAATCAACCCCTTCTGCCTAGCGGCCACGAGGCTTCTTTTTCAAATCCCCACGCAATAAATAATCCCAAAGCATCGCCTGAAAAACGACGAAATAACGACCCTTTCGCAAAATTTCCGATCTTTCAAGAAGACACTGTAGGGGTGAGAGAGAATATTTCTCACCCCACGGACACTAATCAAGAATTTTTTTCTCTCTCTTTTTTTTTTTGTATAGTTACGGCCAATGAATTTTCAAGATATTGCTTAATGAGACTCAAAAATAACCAACCCCTTCATGAGTTCCCTCGGTATTATTATAAAAATCACTTGGGGGTGAGAATAATGGTCGCGATAAGACTTCACCTTTTTTTCTAAATTCCACCCAATGGATTTTCAAGATATTCACGCCTTCGTCCCCCCCTCTATAATATTTCCATTTTAAGGGAAATAAATGAAATGTGCAAAAATCCCCGGAACTTCCGCTGACGTAAATCAACCCTTTTCCCATCCGGCCACCCCGGCGAAGCTTTTTTAAAGCTCCTCCACTACAAATCCGTTTAAGTCTGCGTCCCGTTCGGTGAAACTCGGAGTGTGCATTCCTTCGTTTATTAATCCCCAGCTTCCAATTTCCGGATATCAGGTCGAAGTAATCGTAAACTCTCCCCCTCCGCCCCCCTGCGTCCCACCCTATCATTCCCAGGGGATGAGACAAGTCGATAGTCGATCAAATAAACCCCCTGGAACACCATGGGGATCTGAGATGCGATCGAGAATTTTGGCGACGTGGGGTGAAAGTTCCCCCCCCTATCCCCGAATTCACTTATCCGATAACGAGATGAATATCAATGAATAATTACGTGACGGCGAGATTGATATAAATTATTGAATAATTCTCTCCAAGTTCTATTAATAATAAAATCGACCGTGATCATCCGATTTTTAAATTCCTATCTCTACTTATGAATGTAAATGAATTATTAACCTCATGTTCCTCTTTATTGAATTAATAATTAATATCATATCATTAATAAATAGTATCATCCACCCTATCCGCGATTATCATTTGAAGTAAATTTCCCACGTTCCTCTTTATTAAATTAATAATTAATATCATACAATATACCCTTAATTTTATTTATGGTAGTGTTTCTATGGTCGGTGTTAATTTAGTTTTCAATTTCTTATTTCCAGAGGGGTGCGACGTCTTTTCGCGGGTTCGATAAGAAGGGGAAGAAGTCGATGCGCGCTCGAGATATGCAGTCTGGTTATCGTCCTTCGCGTTATCGGAACCGTATCGCCCCTCGTATCAAGGCCCCTCGTATATATCCAGCCCCTCGCAGCCCGTCAAGAGACGAGCGTCGTTTAGGAAATTGAGACATCGAGCCTCGTTATGGCGGATCCCCTCTCGGCCATTCGCAGGAGCGGGCCGCGTTATTACGGCCAACTTTCGCCTGTCTTTCGCCGACCACCCCTTTGCTCATGTACCCCCCAAAACTGTCTAAAATATGAAATGCTAACATGTCCCATTGCGACTTTGCTCGCGATATGTGCTATTAGAAATTTGGAACAATACATTTCACCCCTTTTCACCCCCCGAAGGGGTGGTTAGGGCGAAATCTTGAAATTGGTTTTTAGACATTTGTGTGTACATTTTTTTTTTAAGTAAAAGTCATGAATATTAGCATCCCCCATCGTGACTGTGCTCGCGATATGTGCTATTAGAAATTTAGAACAACAGATTTCACCCCTTTTCACCCCCAGAAGAGGTGGTTAGGGTGAAATCTTGAAATTGGTTTTTAGGCATTTGTGTGTACATTTCTTTTTAGGTAAAATTCAAGCCGATATATCTCAGCAGGCTCGAAAGATATTACGAAATTTGTCAAAACACATTTTCACCCTTATCACCTCCTGAAGGGGTGGTAAGATTGAAATTATGAAATTGATTTTTGGGCATTTGTACGTTTACTTCTTTTAAGATAAGATGCAAGCCAATATCTTAATATACGTTATGAAATTTGTAAAAACACATTTTATCCCTCTTCACCCCTGAAGGGTTGGTTAGGGCGAAATTATGAAATTGATTTTTGGGAATTTGTACGTTAACTTCTTTTAAGATAAGATGCAAGCCAATATCTTAATATACGTTATGAAATTTGTAAAAACACATTTTATCCCTCTTCACCCCTGAAGGGTTGGATAGGGCGAAATTATGAAATTGGTTTTTTGGGCATTTGACGTAGATCAAACTTCTCGACGTGTTTTACTTCACTTTAAAGCTGCGATAAAAAAGATCCGACAGGGCCGTTGAAACGGACAATTGGTATATCGGGGGGGAGTTTGAAGGGATTCTATGGCGGATATATCCTTCCTTCGGGTGGCGGTCGACTTTAAGTAGGTAATAAATTAAACGAGCCTCCTCCCTCGCGTGCCAGATTTAATGGAACTTTTCTCCCCGGCGAAACTTTCCGCTCCCTGGGGCTAAGCTCCCGTTAAATACGTAGAACGCCCGTCTAATTATCCGGGCTTCGAGCACCTTTAGAGACCCCCGCTCGAAGCGCACCTTTCGTCCTCCCTTAAGGCTGAGGATGAGTCGAGGCGAGACCGAGCGGAAGGACGAAGGTGGAAGGATGAAGGTAGGAGGATAAATCTGGGAGATTGAAGGTGAA